GGGGCGCCTTGTTCCATGGATCGACTCGACTGAAGTGGGCCGACAACTAATGTGCTACTGCCTACTGCTATGCGTGTGCTAGTGAAATTTTTAAAAAATCGTGCGCTAGTGTGCTACTACTACGTAGCAGTGAGCCTTGCAGTCTTGCGGACGTGCATGCATGCCTTCGCACGAGACAGCTAGCATGCGCGAACGACGCGCCAGCGCTGTGCGCCCTGCCTCCTCGCACGTAAACGTGCCAATCGGGCCTACGTGCCAGCACGTTTAGCCATGGGCCGTGCCTGGGCCTGGGAGGCCAGCACGCGTGCTGGCCCGGCACGGCCCGAGTACTTAGCGTGCCTGCCCGGGCCGTGCCGTGCCTGACCCGTTTAACCCAGGCCGTGCCGTGCCGGGCCGGGCCGGCCCATTTGGCCAGGTTTGCCTGGGTGAACCAGGGAGAGACGGAACTATCATCTCGCACCAATTCAGCCAGCATCTTCCCCTGATTCGTCCCCAGATCCGATCGTTCGCTTCCCATCACTAAACTCCCACCAATTATGCGCCGCCTCTCGCCGCCGCGGGCGGTGGCGGTGGCGGAGTCCATCGACGCCCTCCGCTTCTCCACCTCTGCCGCAGCGGCGGCCGTTCCATCCCCTCCTGACCTGGACCCCCCTCGCCTCGACCCCTCCGACGTCCGATCCCACAATGCCGCCCTCATCGCATATTCTTCCAGGGGCAGTGAGGCGCCGCGCCTCGCGCACCTCCTGGCCTCCTTCGGCGCCATGGTAAAGTCCGGTGCGCCTCCCGATCGCTGTACCTACAACACGCTCATCAGCGCGCACTGCAAGCTCGCTCTCCTCGCCGACGCCAGGGCCGCTCTGGCTCGGATGCACGAGGCGGGGTTCGCGCCGGACACCTTCACCTACAACTGCCTCATGCTCGGCCTCTGCAGGGCCGGCCTCCTCACAGCTGCGTGCGGTTTGTTCGTGCAGATGCCACGCCGTTGGGGTGCCTACTACGACAGACACTCCTACACTATCCTGATCCAGGGCCTGTGTGCCGTGGGGCGCATTGACGATGCCTGTAGGGTGTTTGCTAAAATGTCGAGGGGCTGGTGCAAACCCGGCGTGCACACATACACTGTGCTGCTCGATGGGCTCTGCAAGGCTAGGCGTGTCGGGGACGCGGAGGCTTTGTTGGGTGAGATGGTCGATAAGGGTGTGGTGCCAAACGTCGTGACTTATAATGCCTTGATTGGCGGACTTTGTCAAGAGGGGAGGTTCGATGATGTGACCAAGTTGTTGGAGAAAATGGAGATGCAGCAGCGTGCTCCAGATTGCTGGACATATACCATAGTTGTCCATGGTCTGTGGAAGCATGGAAAAGTGGAGCATCGTGCCAAGGTGTTGTGTGAAGCCTTAGTGAAGGGCGTTGCTCTTGGAGTTGCCACTTACAATGTGTTGATTGATGGGTATTGTAAGGTTGGTGATATGAAGGCTGCTCTTGATGTTTTGCAGTTGATGAAGAAGAATGGGGTCAACCCAAATGTCCAAATTTTTAATGTGGTGATCCATGGATTCTGTTGCGGTGGTAAAGTGCATCAAGCGATGGCCTTCTTGACACAAATGGTTGGGGCTGGGTTGTCGCCGGATACTGTTACATTCAACTCGCTGATATCTGGTCAGTGTAGCGTGGGTGAAATGAATATTGCTTTCCGGTTGCTTGATTTGATGGAGGATTATGGCGTTCTTCCAGATCGACAAACTTATGCCATCTTTATAGATGCTCATTGTGAGCAAGGTCGACTGGAGGAGGCTCATTCTCTCTTTTCTTGTCTTCCTCAGAAAGGTATTAAGGCACACAGCGTCATATATAATTCACTGATTCATGGATATTGCCAAGTAGGTGATATTGATTCTGCTTTTGGGCTGATGGAGAAGATGGCTTCAGAGGACTGTATATCTGATGTTCACACCTACAACGCCCTTATTGATGGTCTGTGCAAAGTGAAAAGATTGGATAGGGCTATAGATTTACTAGACAAGATGAAGAAGCAGGGGATAGAACCAACAACTTGTACATTTAACATTCTGATCAAGCAAATGCTTTGGGACAAGAAGCATGCAGATGCTGCCAAGATGTATGAGCAAATGATATCTTCTGGTTGCAAACCTGACAAACAGACATATACACTGAAAATCAGTACAGACTGGTTTGAGGGTGCAAGGAAGGAAGAAAATATAGACGTGGCTATTGTTGAAATGCATGAAGCAGGTGTTTCTCCAGATGTGGAAACATATAACGCTATCATAAAGGCGTATAGTGATGCTGGCCTGATGGAGAAAGCCTTCTTTGCACATGTGAAGATGCTTTCTGTCCCTATTGATCCAAATTGTACAACATATTCGATATTGCTTAATCATATGTGTAACAAGGATGATAGTGATGCATTTGATAATGAAAAAGTATGGAAGATGGTAGATGTGAGAAATCTGCAGGAGCTTTTTGAACAGATGTGTAAATCTGATGCTGCTCCTGGCATTAGCACATACAAGGCACTGCTGAGGGGATTGTGTAATCAGTGTCGACTGGAGGAGGTGGAATGGCTGTTGCTAAAAATGCAGGGAAACAGCGTTCTGTTGGATGAAGACATGTCTGATTATCTACTTGGTTGCTATTGTAACTTAAAGATGTACAGGGAAGCATGCGAGCAATTTAGATCGATGGCCCATCAGAGCTTTCAGCCAGGGCTAAAGTCATGCTGCCTTCTCCTTTCTGGCCTTTGTGATAGTGGAGATCATGGGATGGCTGTATCAATTTTCAGTGATATACTTGGCTTAGGGTACAACTATGATGAGGTTGTCTGGAAACTTTTAATTGATTGCCTACATGAGAAGGGGCATACTGGGGCATGTTTAGGGATGCTTTCAGTGATGGATGATAAAAAGTGTGTTGCTAGCACTAGGACATATGCATCTTTAGTTCATTTGTTGCTGGAAACTGAATGAAGATCTTGTTTAAACGGTTCACTTGTTGTAGAAACTACTTTGTCTTGGGCTTAGCCCCGGCATGGTTACATGGGAGCATAATTTTGGATGAATTCTGCTGGCCTTGAATTTGTTGGAATCTGGTTCTTGTTGTCTCACCATCAGTTGATAAACGTGAGTTGGGTCATGTTCTGGGTCCAGGATTGGTGCAGTCTACATACTGCCATCATTCGGTATACCTACACAGTTCAGTGAACTTTCACTTATCATCTGCCTGGAGTGAAGATAGAGTTTCCAAATTCCAATACTCTATCAAATTTGGCGAAGCACTCGTGACAGCAAGCTGAATGGACTGGATGGGAGGTATCCCATATTCTCATCGCATCTACTGTCTCTTTTTTATCTGTTAGTAGCGTCAGAAGTGTGTGTGTTTCATATCATATGTTGCAATCACTGCTTTCAGAAGTTTGTTGCATGCGAATATGTGACGTAGAATTTATGGTATTAAACTAAATACTCTATGATAAATGTTCTTTCCTAAAGATTGCCACACTCAGTTGTCAATCCACATTGCTAGATCAGCACCCTGTTTAGTCCTTCACATTGATTCCTGCAAATAATTGTTTTATTTGATGAAAATACTTCTGAATGCATAGTTGAAATGTAAAAATTGTAATGCAGATGTATGGAAGACTTGAGCAGCACTCTTTTGTTCCTTCAGAACAAGGTACGAGTATGTACTTCATTCAAACTAGCATTTTTTTGGAGCGCCGAGTGTTCTGGTACATTGACTGTAGAAGCATGTCGTTTTGCAATACCTACTTGATTCCTTTGTTGCATTGCAGCAATTATCTGGGTCTTAACATTCACTGTGTCTGAGTACCCCCCTTACCCTTAATTTGGGCAGGGAAGGAGCAGCTACCATTTGTTGCATCTACCCAATCATCTACAGAAACAACAAAAGGGTGCTTAACACTGCTAAAAATGTATGTTCTTCTTTCTTTGTTGGTTAACTTTGTCCTCCCTTGTTAATCATCCACGGAGATGAGATCGGACAAATGTTATACTTGATTAAATGTGGATCCATGCACAGTACAAAAAATGAAACTATTTCGGTGCCATGAAAATCCTTTTGGTCTCTCGTTTCGATAAAACTTCGCTTGAAATCTTGGTCCACGATCATTCCTGTTTTCCAATGCCAACTGTTTCTGTAATACTCAATTCACCATCAATTGTTCTGTGCAATAACCCAATTAGCTGTTGACATAAACTATCGGCATTGGATTGTGTTGGGTCACTGAAGATGTGTCGTCACTATTAATCCATATCGTAACTTATCTCAAATTATATGGAGAGACTTACCATATGTTGGCTTTAGATGTCAGGTTAGCTCAAAATGTGGAAATGGTTGGCGAAACAATATTGTAATGGGACACAATTGGAGATATAATCTGCCCGCTTGATAAAAAGGGAAAACGAAAGTACATTCCTTAGCAGTCTGAAGCACTCTATTGCTCTTCTGTAGAGATTACTTTGATGATGATTCAGGAGATGCATGACTTGAGTAGCTGCTTGTTTGTTGGTCAAAACGATGGGCATTCCATGGTGCCAACGCTGAGAAGTACCCCCTCTGTCCCAAATTATTTATCTTAGATTTGTCTAAAGGCATATGTATCTAGACATGTTTTAATGTTAGATATGTCCATATCTAGAAAAATCTAAGACAAGAATTTGGGACGAAGGTAATACCTTGTAAGTAAGGCCTTGTGTGACGGGGTTTTTCAGCATATCTCTCTACGCGGACGACGTCGTCGTTTTCTGCCATCCGGACAGCCATGACATTGCTGCCGTGCGCACCCTCCTACATGTCTTTGGCAGGGCTTCTGGGCTGCACACCAACTTCAACAAATGCTTGACGACCCCGATCCAGTGCATTGACGATCACATCGCCCCGATCACCTCCGAGATGCAGTGTCCCGTGGCACACTTCCACATCACCTACCTCGGGCTGCCCATTGCCGTCCGCAAGACCTGCTCGACAAGTTTGGAGCCGATCTTCGACAAGCTCTGCAGCAAGTTATCCACCTGGCACGCCTCCATGCTCTCTCAAGGTGATCTCCTTGCCCTCGTGCGGCATGTCCTCTGCGCCATCCCCACGCATTTCCTCACGGCCATCGCCTTCAACAAAACGGCCATCAAGAAGGTGAATCGGATCATCCATGGATTCCTTTTGGCGGGCCACAAGGAGGCCAACGGAGGCCAATGCCATGTCAACTGGCAGCGGGTGTCCCGCCCCATCTCCCTCGACGGTCTTGCATCCGTGACATCTACCGCATGGGCTTGTCTCTGCACGTTTGCTGGCTATGGCTCCAGCGCACGGACCCCTCGCGGCCATGGAGCCACCTCTCTGTACCTCATGACACCGACGCGAACGCCATCTTCCGTGCCTTCACAAGCTGTCAGCTTGGCTCGGGCGACACTTGTTGCTTCTGGACCGACCACTGGATCAACGGCAGATCCGTAGCGGAGATCGCCCCTCTCGTCTACACACTCATCCCGCGCCGCCTCCGCAAAGACCGCAGTGTGCGCGACGGCTTTCACCTACGCTCCCTGGTGCGCCACACGCCGCTCTCCTCCACGCCAGACGTGCTCTCCTGGCGTTGGACAGCTTCCGCCACATACTCGGCGAGCTCCTGCTACAAGGCGCTTTTCTTTGGCACGTGCGAAGATCCTCACTGGCGTCTCACCTGCCGGCCATAGGCGCCTCTTCGCGTCAAGTTCTTCCTTTGGCTTGCCATGCAAGACCGCTGCTGGAACGCGGAACGGCTCGCCCGTCACGGCTTGCCGTACGAGGACACGTGCGCGCTTTGTGATCAAGAACCCGAGTCCATGCATCACCTCCTCGAGGCCTGCTCGTTCTCCCGTCAGGTTTGGCATGAGATCCTCGGCTGGGCTTGCATGGCCGTCGACCTTCCAACTGAAGACACCCTCTTCCAAACCTGGTGGTCCTCCTACCTCGACCGCTCATCGGCCCTCGTGCGAAAAGGCCTATCCTCCCTCATCATCCTCATGGCGTGGTGGCTTTGAAAACACCGTAACACGTGCATCTTCGATCGAGCCACTCCTTCGCTCACCTCTGATCTCCGACACTATCAAAGACGAGGCGCGCCTATGGGCAAAGGCAGGCGCCAAAGGGCTACTTAACATCATCCCTGGCGAGTAGTTGCTAGTTTAGACACCTAGGGCTGAGCAGACCCCTTGTTCTAGTTTGCTCCGACGCTCGTGCACCATGCCTTCTGCATACATGGCCCTGTATGCGTTGTAATCTCATGCTACTTTCTCCCTCTATCAATACAAAAATACGCAGCTTGCGTATTCGTGAAAAAAATGAGATAAAAGAGCATACTAGATCTATACACGCGCTTTGCTGTGCCGCTCTTCACTGCTCTTCACTGTGACGTCTTCCTTGCACAAAACTTATTCACATGTTCTCAAATAATAACTCAAACGACATTGAAGAGAACTCTGAGATCAGTTCGAATCTTCTTTCTAATTCGCATGGAAGAAATTATGGACTCTTCTCTAATAACAAGCTCGGCTCCTATTACTGGATCGTGAGTTATCTCTATTCATCCATCGAAGTCTGCAAAAGATTAAAAAAAATTGCACAAAACTTATTCACATGTTCTCAAATAATAACTCAAACGACATTGAAGAGAACTCTGAGATCAGTTCGAATCTTCTTTCTAATTCGCATGGAAGAAATTATGGACTCTTCTCTAATAACAAGCTCGGCTCCTATTACTGGATTGTGAGTTATCTCTATTCATCCATAGAAGTCCGCAAAAGATTAAAAAAATTCGATTTTTCTAGAAAAAAAATGTTGGTTTTCTATCACTCTACATCGGCTAACATTAATAAAAAACAATCAATGGCAGTAGCTGTATGTTTCAATCGGGATTGTTAAATCTCAGTCGACTGAGACTTGTGCTATATTCATAAGATCTTGCGTGGAGATCCATGAAAAATTTCTTTTTAACCTTTTCTTTTTTCTTCTTTACATGCTAAGACTTGGTTAAGTCTGAGTTATTAAGACCTAGCCACACCTTTTCTCAATATCTCACTTCGTCCGGAGCACACAATGCATAGCAGTAACCACACACAATAGAGCAAACAAATTTAGACCAATGTCTCTTATCTGTGAATAAATTTGCTCCAAAACTGTTTCAATATTTCTCAACAGTAGCACACAACAGCAGCACATATAAAAAAAATGATATCTTCTTTCCTCAATCTTCAGAGGCACGCAATACACGGCAGCAACAACAGGTCGGCAAGACGGCAACCTCCGGCGGCAGCACAAAGGCCAACAACAGCACGAAGGGACGACTGCCTGGACGCACCCGTGCATGAGCTCCAGTAGTAGAGCCAGCCGGGCCTTCCTCACCACGCCATCCTTCACCGTGCTTGTCCATGGCTCCAGCCGCCTCGACTGTGCCGGCGCTTCTCCCCGGCTCCCGGCTACTCCGCCCTCCACTGTTCGCCCAGCCAGCGTTGGCTCCCGGCTACCCCGCCGTCCACTGTCCGCCCAGCCAGTGCCGGCTCCCTTCTCCATCCCTCGTCCACCTCATCGCCAGCGCCGGCTCCCTGTGCTGCAGCATGCAACACGCCGTCGCCTTCAGCCTCTCTCTCGATCTGGAAAAATATGGGAGGGCTTGGGGTGCCCGAGAGGTAGGGAAGG